CTGTTCCCATCAACGGCGGCTCGTCACCCCGACTCTGTGTCACCGCAGATTCGTACTCACTCACCTTGGCCGAATTTGTGCCTCTGAAGTGCGGCCATCAAACAATGATCACCTGCACCTGTTGATCCACCGCCCCCCCCCCCCCTTCTCCACGACCAGAACCGAAACACTTCCCACCGCCTTTTACCGCATCGAACGTCGTCACACTTTGCGATCCTGCGCTTTCTCTTCCCGCCAAACTGCCTCTTGCCTGCATAAGCCTCCCCTCCATCCCCTTCTCCGCCTTGGCCCTGTTCGCTGCTCCTAGCCGCCCATCCGTCCCTATCGGGTGCAGCCACCACTTGTTGTAACACAAACGCAACGCAATCGAAGAAGCTCTCGGGCTCGTTTTTCAGAAGACTGTCTGTCTGCACTCCACTCTCTTCCCGGCAACTGTGCGACTTTCCCTCTTTTCGCCCCCCTTTTTTTATTCTGTTTAAGCCGTGGTCCCAGGTGTTGTCGTCGTCGATATCTACCACTCTAAGCGTCTTTGCGGCTCTCGACATCAAAAAAGCCTGGCAACACCTGTCACAAGGCACAGGGCGAGCGGCACGCAAGCGGCTTCTCCATCAGCAGCGACCAGCTTCGTCTGTCACCCATGCTCGGCCCCCTGCCTGGTGTCTCACTAGCGCCAACGAATCTGTCCTAGATCCCCTGTCCTCCCCCGGCTGATTTGCCTTGGGTCGCGCCGCCACACACGAGCCAGACGCCCTGACGCCCTGACGCCCTGACAATCCTACCAGGAGAGAAGACGGGGCAAAAAATCTCGGCTGGGCCCAGCTTTGTCTCAACCAACGCCAGCTCCACAAGCACACCAGAGAGCTCACGCTGTCACGAACCGAACCTGACCCAAACACCAAAACAACACACCCACGACATCGTGTTCCCTTTCCGCCGGCTGTCGCCCGACCATTGCGCACTTGCGACAACAAACCCATACTATTCTCTTCGTCTTCCCTGCAGACCTTGTCTCATTCTGCTGCTGAAGTCGTCGGCGTCCTCGTCGACCCGGAACCGCGCATGCGGCCTCCCCTACACGTCTCTGCCAGCTGCTGAGCTCTTTCGGTCGCCGTCATGGATCCCCGACAGCCATCCCAGCTGCCTTTCTCGCGCAACGCTGCGTCGCCTTATAATCGATCGCCTTTCCCACCGAATGCCGCGCCGCCGCCGTCGAACCCAAACCAGTCTCCCTATCCCCCTACTACGGCGCATCCGCCGCCGCCGCCCAACCCTCCCTATACCGATCAGCGCAGATCCGCCGAAAACCCTTACTACCCTCCAGGGCCCCGGCCGTATCCTCAAGAATCGAATCCGCATTCTCAGCAGCAGCAACAGCAGCATCCTCCTCCTCCCACCCATGGGCACTCTCGTCACACCAGTACATCATCGTTGCCTCCGGGGCCCCCCTCGAATCGCACAATGCCACCGCCGGGATCGCCACCTCAGCAAGGTGCTCAGCAGCCACAGCAACAACAGCAGCCCCCACATCAACTAGGCTCTTATGGCTTGCCGCCACCAAGGGGTCCGCACATGACGAGCGGTCCACCGTCATTCCCTGGCGGTCGCGAACTCCCTGCCCTTGGTCACATGCCGAGGACAAATAGTACCGGCAGCTCCATGTCGATATCCTCGATGTTGGGAGGACCACCTTCGGCGTCTCGCGACTCTCAGCCGCCGACTTCGCAGTATGCTCCCCCCACGACGTCAGCCGCCTCCGGTCCGACCTTTGCCCCGTCCGTCCAAGCATCTCCGCGGATGCCTTCTGCCGCCGCTGACTACCAACCATTTCGAAGACCATACACTCCCGACCACCCTCGACCGTATGACCCACGAGGCGATCCTAGAGGCGATCCGAGGGCGGACCCGCGAGGTAGTGTAGCGGCATCACCGCAGAAAACGCATTCAACCACGCCCGAGATGCAGCGCTACGGAACGCCCCAGTCCTACCACCAGCGAGCGCCCTCACAACAAGAAAGCAGGGAGTCGAGTCGCATACCTGGTGGCCCTCCCAGACCAAATAGCCCGCCCAAGTCGTATCAGGGTGCGCCTCCACGACAGGGAGACTTGGGCCGAGCGCCGGGCCCAGAAGACGCTTATCAGCGGCGAGAAGAGGTGCCGCGCGGCGCGATGGAATACAACCCAGAGCGGCCCGGGCTCAAACCGTTTGCTTACGACGACCGTTATAGGGCGGAGCGCGAAAGACGTGATGAAATGGAGTTGAGGGAACGAGAGCGACGCGATCGCGCGCATTCGGGAGGAGAAGGAGGGCGAGGCCATCCTGCGCACCAGCCCGATTTCCGACAACACGAGCCGCCACGAGGCCAGGCACCTCCATACAATCGTCCACCTGATGCCCGCGACCATGCCCGCGACCACGCTGCCTGGCCCCGGCCGCCTTATGAGCAATCCAGGGCGCCCTATGATCCTGCCGGATTTTACCCGCGACATCCTCATCCCGAGCACCCCTCCACTGCTGGACCTGGCTATCCAGGCCACGCCGCTCCAGCCTATGGCCAGCCTCCCCCTCCCGACCGCTACCCGCCCAGTTCCCATCCTCCGTCATCCCATCCAATGCCACAGACGGGTCCGCCGAACCAGCCCCAGCCGTTCGATTCCCCGGAGCGCGCGCGCATGAACCTTCTCCACCCGCAAGCTCCACAGCCTCCGCCAGGTCACAGAAGGCCACTCGAAGAAGGCCCGCCGCCGCCATCCGTCGCGTACAACCCGGCGCATGGATCGATGTACGACTCGCCGAGGCGGCCGGGCGAGGAGGGCCACGCGAGCCAGCGCAACCTTCTGGCCATTCAAGAGATCAATCGCAAAGGTCGCATCTCTCCTCTTCCGCAGGCTGTGCAGGGGGCTCAACCCCAGATTTCCGCCCCCGGTGGTGAGCCAGGCATCAAGAGCGAGTTCGGTCGCATGTTCTCCGGCATAGGGAGTGGAGTTAGCGGCATCGTCTCAAGCCCTGTCGCGCCCGGGGCGCAACTTGCATACACCAACGCCAGCTTGGCTCGACGTGATGAAGTGGACGCTCCTTTGCATGATCCTGGACCTGAAGTGGGAGGCAAACCACCAGCCAAGGGCAAGCGAAGGAAGCTGAAAGACGCACCCGATGTCAAGGTCGACGAGGACAGCAGTGGGCGACTCACACCCGCTGGTCGTACGAAGCGTGCCAAGACGCACCAGCACCATCATCAGTAGGTTTCAATATCCCCTTTAGAGTTTCAGTAGCGATCCTAATAAGCCACAGCCATCACCACCACCATCACCACGAGCCCGATCAACACCCAGCGGCGGCACACGCTGGCGTCGCACCCTTCAAGAACACCAAGGGCGGCACTCCAGTTCCCTCGCCCACGATCGGCGGCAAGGACCTTCTAGCTGGTCATCATCATCACCACCACGCCGTGCCACGGGCAATGCCACAGGTGCACCTTGGAAAGGAGCCACATGCCAAGACGCCCCTGGCCAGCCCCACGGTCACATTGCCACCTAGACCCAAGACAATCGTCACGTCAAAAGAGGTTCTTCAATCGGTCGCCAGCCGCCCGCGTCATCATTTGGGAGACGTGGTGTATGAACCAAGGTTGCAACCAGCTCGGCAGCTGCAGAGGCAGCCTTCTGACGTGGGATTTTCGTCGACGCCGGTTCCTCTGCCCTGGAAGCTCATCAAGGACAAGGAGAACTGCACCATGACAATCAAGGTATCTCGCACCCACCTTACCAAGGAAGCGCGCGAGGAGATTACATATCGCAGAGCACTGTGGGGCACCGACGTGTACACGGATGATACGGACGTCGTGGCGGCGTGCATACACGGAGGCTGGATTCGAGGCGAATGGTCCAACGTGGACGTCAACATGTTGGACCTCGACCGCGGCATCTTGTTCCAGGACAAGGAGCCAATACCGAACAAGCGACGCAAGGATAAGGAGAGAGACGAGCAGGCCCGACAGGAGGCCAACATGGCGACGTATCTCGACAAGGCACCCAACACTGGCCCCGTTCAAGTGCAACCTGATCGCGATATGCAGGTGACGATTCTCATCCTGCCCCGGCTCGAAAAGTACAGCAGCACGGTGCGGTTCGGGGTCAAGTCTCGCGAGTGGGGCGGCACGTATGGCGGACGCAAGTCAGTCCACGACGGCATCAGCTTCATGATCACGGCCATCCGCTGGGTCGACAATGGCGCCGGAGCACAGAGCCGACTGCGGGGCAAGGCTCGACGCGAGCGCATGCGCAGGGCCATGGCGGAAGTAAAGGCTGTCAACTGGCCCGAGGGTAAGGGCAGCGACCAGGCTGCTACCACGGTAACGTCGGTTGATATGACAGGCGCATGGCGAAAGACCGCTGAGGCGAAGGCAGCCAACGGCCAGGCCAGCCCTACGGACAAGGGCGACAAGGCGCCTAGCGAGGGCGACAAGGAAAATCAGCCAGTTGAGAGGGCTGAGGAACCAAGTGAGCAGGGTGCGGTTGATGACGCGTCTGCCAGCGTTGCTGAGAAGCAAACGGAGAAGTCGGAAGTGGAAGTGAATGGCGAGAAGAGCTCGTGAGTGAGCAATATCTTGTTGCCATATTGGTGTTCTATCTCGTATTGGCAGCTATATCATATGCCACACATGTCAGTCTTCCGGCCCTTCCCAAGGCGGGAGCCGTGAAGGGGGATCAGCAGGGATCAGTTGTAGGATGAAGAACTGTAGGCTAGTTGTAAATGCTCTGAATACCCCCAGTTCATCTACCACGCGACTCAATCGTAGCATTTTACATGGTGTTGTACATGTACGCCATCACATATCACGGTGGCTTTTCATTATTCAGCGCAAACCCGCATCGACCCTCGGACAAGCGTACTTGGCATCGCCGTACATGATGCGCATTTTCCTTCTTCATCTTGCATCTTTCCGGTATTGTGGCAGCATCGCTCCCCTCACTGCCCATGCCATTCATCGCACAGCCATGCATTAGAAGTCCGTCACCCGCCCATTGTAGCTCCAGTCGCCATCACCACCCCACCGCAGAGGCTCATTCTTCGGCCCGCCGACCTCGCCCGTCTTGGGATTCGTCTCGCCCTCAAACTCGGGTGGCGCGCCGCGGCGCACATCCTGGTGGAGGGCCTCGCCGTCGTCGGTGCGCACCTCGACCTTGCCCGGTGCTGCCGCCGCTGCCGCCGCCGCCGTCGTCGTCTCGGTCGCCTCGGCGGGAGAGGGCGGGCTCATGTCGAAACCAGAGGCGACGGCCGCCGTGCGCTGGAGGCGTTCGAACTCGGCTTGCTCGGAGGCGGGGAGGCGGGGGGGCCCTGGAGAGGGTTTGAAAGCCGAGGAGGAGGAGGAGGAGTAGGGTCTTGCGAGGGGGGCGCGGAGGGCGCGGAGGGCTGTTGGAAGGCGGGGGAGGAGGCGTGACATGTTTTCGTCTGGTGTTCCTCTCTTTTGTTTGCGTCAGGTGTTTTCGAGGAACGAGTTGGGCTGTTGGTGGTGTTGGTTTGGGTTTGGCTGTGGCAAGGTTGGAGTTGGCGGCGTCAAAGGATCCACGTCTGGAGCTGCAGTGCATGTTCCGGGACTCGGGAACGTTCTGGGTGGCTTTGGTGGGGTGCCCCGGTTTGGGCCGAGGTGGCGGTTTTCTTATGTGCGCCACCTGTGGCGGAATCTTCTGTTTCGACATCACCGTCCTTCGACTCAGGTCTCAAGGCCTGCTTGAGCTTCTGTAGAGACTGGTGCGAGACTCAAGACAAGACTACGAACGACAGGATGATCGTGAATGAAATATCTTCTGTTGAAGACGATTGGGGTCCTTACTCCCTGTACAGTTCCGCCGACGGCTACTAATTACCAGTACCTCCTCGAGCAATAGGCTGTTCCACCAGGAGTCTTGTCGTCAACCAATAATGAAAGCTATGCCGTGTTGCGCTTCCAAGCACCCCATCAACACATTTTATTTCTGCTTCCTACCACGCATGGACAACTGTACTCTCTCCCTTGACTGGCACAGCGCTCATCTTCGCCCGCTCTGGCAGCTCACACAGAATCCATCGAACAAGCTCCTCGTGGCAGAGCGCCTTGCCGGCGAGCCCTTTTGTCGAGCCGAGCTCAGTCGCGTCACAGCTGACAATGAGTTTCCGAATGTCCGTTGACGACACATTGGGCTTCCGTTGTCCTTCGGTCCACGGCACAAAGCGGATCGTGAGCTTGGGCACACCCTTGACTGTTCCGCACCGCGTCTCCTAAATGGCGCGCACGTCAAGAACGGCATCGCAAAACCTCTCCTCCACATAAGCCCTCTGCTCGCGTTCTGTAGAGGCGTCAGTGTTGTGGTTAGATGACATTTCTTTGGGAGGGGAAAGGGAGCTCACCAGCATGAGGCACGCTCCCGATAACGAGAGCATCGTTGAAGCGGCGTGTGGCCTTGTCCTCGATCAAGCGTCGGATTTTGCCGAGATTGAGGTGTTTCAGCCGGTGCCAATCAGTGCACGCTGTGATGCGCACGAGGTTCTTGTGATGCCCGGCCACGAAATCTGCGGGCCGGCAGGCATCCGAGACGATGGTCTCGGAACAGTTCCAGCGGGCCGGGCTGTGCACTGAGCTGATGGAGACATGGTCGGGGCCGACGGCCGTCATGAAGTCGACGGTGAAACCGCTGGACACGATTGAAGCCTCCAGGCGGCTGCGGAAGGCGTGCCATTCTGTCTCCGGCTGGTCGTAGACCCAGACGTTGTTTGGGATGAGGGGGCTATTCCGACAGAGCGAGACGCGCAAAGACTTGGGCAGAATGATGGGGTTCTCTGCAATGCCGAATTTTTGCTCGAGGTGGGCGTCGTCGATGGGAATCATGATGGCGGCGATGATGTTGAGATCTTCGCCGCCATGGTGTAAGACGTGGGTGAGCAGCTCGGCGTGGCCGTAGTGAGGCGGGTTGTATCCGCCTGCTGCCAGGATGATAGTATTGCGGAACCCACGGCGAAGTAGCGGCTCGACCGTGTGTTCCAGATCATCGCGGAAAATGGGGGCCTCTTCGTCAAAGGGGTCGACTTCATGGTATGCTTCCTGGATGTAATGGGTCAGGGGCGCAGTTGTCATTGCGACGTCAGCTTGAGCTGCGCCACCAGCTTGGTGGTATGCTGCGAATGGGTGGTCTGCAGACATTTTCGTAACATGCTTTGTTTGTGGTGATGAGGGCTTTGGCGTGCACGTTTGGCGATGGGAGGGTTGTCTTTGAGTGCGTAGTTGTGTCAGCACTTGCCTGAGATTTGTGGCACACTGCTTTAACTGGAGGGTAAGTTGATTGTTGAGCTTTCCATTTGTGTCTCTCAATTACACGTGTCTTTGAAAAGGGAAAGAACGTCTGAATGCATATTCGACGCGCTCATGAAAGTCAACAGCCCAGGTCACGTTATCAGTGGCCCAAGAGTAAAATTGTACTACACATGTGACTCTTGCGGTAGACAAGTCCTCATAATCTACCTATCCAATGTACCGGTGGGCACGGTCAACTTACGCATTGCTCATTACTTGCAAAAGTTGACACAAGGTGCTGGACAATATATTTGTAACTGATCATTGCAGCCTCTTGGCCAAGGTCTAGTTGAAACCTAGCGCATCGACTTGATGCCGCGCTTCACGGCGGAGCTCATGTGCTCCCATCAACTAACACAGTACCACATTGTATGCAGATAGATTCCAGCTAGACGCCTGCCCAATCATTACGTTCCAAGACTAATCCCATACCTCAACTCAAGCCTTGAACACCTTGTCAAAGTCGGTCATGGTAAACCTGTACCGAACCTTATTCTCCTGAACTCTCTCAACAGCCTCCTTCAGCCCCTTCTCGCCCAGGGGAAGCTTCTCCACCATGGGCGTAATGTTCTTGTCGCCAGCCAGCTTCAACATGGCTTGCATTTCCTGCCTATTGCCGATATGGCTGCCTGTCAGTTTGGCAGCATTGCTCGCAAAAGCGCTAGGCGGCATCTGCGGCAGCGGCTTATCACCCAGGCCAACCATGTGAAACTCGCCGCCAATGTTTAGGATGCTCAGATACGTTGGCAGATCAAATTTATCGGCAGCATCAGTGCAGTTGAGGACAAAGTCAAACTGGAAAGCCCACTTGTCGGCCCAGTCGTTTTCGTTGGTGTCGATGACGCCCGCGGCCCCCAGCGCTCTAGCATCTTTCTCCTTGCCAGGTGAGTGCGTCAGCGCGTACACTTCTGCACCCAACGCCTTGGCCCACTGCAACCCGAGGTGGCCGAGGCCGCCAATGCCGATGATGGCGACCTTGTTGCCGGATTTGATACCGGCGCGTACGAGTGGAGAGTACGTCGTCAACCCAGCGCATAGCAGCGGTGCTGCGTCGGCCGAGTCGAGGGCGCCGGGGATGCGGAAGACAAAGTACCAATGCGCGCGAATGTGCGAGGCGAAGCCGCCGTGCGCGTCGCTGCCATCCTCGTACTTTGAGTTGTATGTGTCGACCATGTGAGGGCAGTAATTCTCGTTCTGGGACTTGCACTGCGGGCACTTGAGGCACGACCAGACCTGGGCGCCGACGCCGACGCGGTCGCCCTCCTTGACGTCCTGTACGGACTTGCCGACGCGGACAGCCTTGCCTACGACCTCGTGGCCGACGCAGAGTGGACCCTTGAATTCACCCCAGCCGCCGTTGATGGTGTGGACGTCCGAGCCGCAGACGCCGCAGCACTCAATCTGAATGTCGACATCATTGTCTGTGAAGGGCTTGGGTGTGAGGGTCTGCTTGGAGAACTCAGTCCAAGTCTTTGGGCTGTCAACGCAGAAGCCCTCGAAGGTGTTTGGGTATCCCATGATATGTTTGGCGAGGTGTTTAGGGGGATGGCGATAAATGATGAGGCGTAAAACTGGATGTCAGGATGAACAGTAGCTGCGCATGTGGGCAACCTTGATGGGCATTCACAAGCTACAAGCCTTATATAAAGGAGAAACAGATCTCTACTTGAAAAGAAGAGCCATCGATGGGTATCACGGCATATCGTCTCTGGGTTCCGCACTTCGGGGTCGTCCAAGCTGTGACCCATTTCTAATGACGTCTTCGACTTTCCCTTGGGCTTTCGATCATTTCCCACGACCTTAAAAGCATCGTCACTGGCGTCGTGTTTGTGGGGTGAATGCCGGGCATTCTCTGACCGAAATCTCAATTATTCCCTGGAGGTTCTGCTCCGCGGCTGGCGCTGTATCCATGACGAAATCGGACAGCTATTAGGCCTGGTATTATATGGCCCCGACGGTCATTCGCTGTCTCGATCAAAAATGGGCCACGTAACCCCAAAAATTGGTTTGGATGGTGGAAAGGTGTCATGGGAAAGATGGGGACATGATATCGAATGATCTCATACATACAACATCATTTGAGCCGCTAGAACACTCACTAACAAGTTGGTTGAATCTAATGTATTCTTCCCTTTTCGAGATCTATGAAATCGGGTACAACTATTGGATTAATGATCGGATTTCTCTGGCGGCTGGGCACAAGCCTCAATGCAGGCCCATGTGCGTTTATTAGGAGAACAAGCGGGCTCCAGCAATCCGGACGAGATCCCGTTGCATTGATGAATGCTGATCTGACCTATGGTTGGCCCAACGTCAAACAGGGTCTTTTTGGCGCATATCAAAATTCACATGAAAGACGGAGAACAGTCCGGTCAAGTGTGAGAATGTCGGTGTAGTAGCCTCCATGTCCCAGGTGGTAAAACTTGCGATTTCACTCCCAGTATTTTGCTACGCGTGGACATTTCTCGCTCGTAGTGATATGATCTGGTATGCAAAGCACGAAAAACCAGAGCACAGTAAAGTTCCATCTACGGCTGCCTTTCTTCCAGCTCTTTGACTCTGTGGCCAGCCCAAGCCCCATACCCCTTCATCATGCCTGTTCCCGTCCCCTTCCACTGCGCCGAGTAAGTCTGTATCCGCCGATACCTTTCCACCATCCACACCTTCTCCCGCCGCTCCATCTCAACAACCTTCTCTTTCCCTCTGCCTTTCACTGCTTCCCCAACGACAGCATACGCCGTCTTGGCAAGACAGACGGGACACAAGTACGGCGGCTGCCGGCCATCCTCGCCAACCCCAGCCGTACTCTGCATGACGCAAGCATAGAGCGCACAGTGCGCCAACCCAAGGCAATGCCCGAGCTCATGGCTCGCCGTCCGACAGACACTCGCAAGCCAGACTGCACCCCAACCGCCCTTGCCCCGCGGGACCATGCCGCTCCGCGCGGCCATGACCGCCGCGCGGAGGCCTCCCTCAGCAGGTGTTACCGATTCGGAGGTTTCGCCTTCGTGATCGCATACGGCTTCGATCCACCACGCGCAGTGCGAGGCGGGCCAGGCGTGCGAGCGGTCGACGTCGTTATGCGCGTCGAGGGCCGGATTGTACCGGAACGAAGA